GCCGGCCGAAGCACCTCCGCACCGTGCCGGCCGAAGCACCTCCCCACCACCTCCCCACTGAGCCGGCCGAAGCACCTCCCCACCACCTCGGACCGGAAGACAGTCCGGAAGTGTCCGGTGTCCGGGTCCGGGGTTACCATGATACAGACAAGATTAGCACGGGCCCTGCGCAAGGATGACACGCATAAATCGAGAAATCGTCCAAATTTGTTTTTAATAATACAAGGGAGGTAGTTTAGCACCCCCGTGAAGCAAAAAACCTCAGACAGAGATCCGGAACAGCAATGCTGGAAGAGCAAGAGACGAAAACTCCGAACAGCAAAGAAAAGAAGCAAGGTTCAAACTGCGGCCTGGGCTACCGAGTGGGCGGTCCGGGCCTCCTTTGGCTGCACGGGCAAGTGGTCCTGGGCCACTCTGGTAGCCTAGTCTGAGACTGAGAAAACCGAAACTCTCTTCAAGAGATCGTTGATGGAGGGGAATATCTCGCAAGGGGAACCGCCCGATAGCAAGCGGCCGTTGTTTTGTCCCGCTTTGTTGATTTGTCCCGCAAGTCCGCCAGGGGAGAGTCCTTATGTCGGACTTTAAGAACTTTTCCCCGAGTACTTTGAAAAGGGGGAAAAGAAAAAAGACAATTTTGCATCAGCAGCTAGGCTACCAGCCGGGCCGCCCGGGTCACCCTATTTTCCCGGGCGGCCCGGCTGTGCAAGGACCAGGGAAGGTCCCAGTTTGAAAAAAAAAAAAAAAAAAAAAAAAAAACGAAAAAAAAACTATGTTATGCTGAAAAATAAACTGAACAACTTTTGCCTCAGGGTCACATCGAAATTCGTTACCAAATTTAAAATAAAATTTTAAATTAAAAAGTATTTTTTATTTTTTTATTTTTTTTATTTCTTTTTGGCCCGGCCGGGCAAGTGGACCCGGGCCACTCTGGTAGCCTAGATCAGTAGGGTAAAACTAACCTGTCTTACGACAGTCGAAACTCAGCTCCAATTCCCTGTTGGTGGGTGAACAAGCCAGTTATCCCTGTGGTAACTGTTTTGACACCTCTAGCTTCAAATCCTGAAATGCTAAAAGATAGATAGGCCATGCTCTGACAGTTTGTATTCGTACAGGAAATCAAAACCTGATGAGCTTTTGCCCTTTTGTTCAACGTGAGATTTCTGTTCTCGACGAACTTCTCTTTCCAAGATATTGACTTTCTTTTCTGAATTCACTTTCTGACATGTTGACTATTTTTGTAACAAATTAACAGCGTCCTCAGTCCGCTCCAGCTCAGGGAGTAGCTAGTTCCCCTGTAAGGCACGTACCGGCAGCTGCGGCACCTCCATCCCCGGGTATGTATGCTCTTCATTTCATGCATCACACCTCTTCCATTCCTTTGTCCTGCCCTGTAATCCTCCTTTTTCCTCGTCTTTTCTTTCACACTTTGTCGTTTTCAAAAAAGGGCAATTAAAAATTTGAGATTCAAATTATGACCTTACTTTCCAAAAGCTTTCCTTAGGTATTATTGTTCTGGAGAAATTCGCACTGTTCAGTGGGGATTCCATTGAATTTCGTCGATAAGCAATTTGAATGTTGATCGGAAATGGCTCCCAAAGAGCGGTGTCACACACCACTGTGAATGCATGTGTGTGTTTGTGTGTGTGTGTGTGTGTGTGTGTGTGTGTGTGTGTGTGTGTGTGTGTGTGTGTGTGTGCGTGCTTGAGAGAGAGAGGGAGAGAGAGAGAGAGTGAGAGAGAGAGAGAGAGGGAGGGAGAGAGGGAGGGAGAAATACATATGATGTTTGTGCCATATCTTCTTTTTTTCCTTTTTTTCTTAACTACAGTATGTTTCCCATCTATTTGTTCTGAGGCGGTGGTTAACACGATGCATTGACAGGGGCTGTGTCCTGGACCAAAACTGCTTGCGGTCCTGGCCATAAAGAAAAAGAATTGTACCTGTGCCGATTTCTTATTTTTTGGAGCGGGGCACCAGTCTGGTTCAGGAAGACACCAGCCTCTTCAGCCACTCCAGGCTGCCAAACTTATCATTGCTACCTAGCCTTGGGCTATCTTATGTGGCACTGAATTTGGAAGGGCTCAGCATCAAGTACGGGAGAACCGTTCACCCCAAAGCCAAGTTGCAAACCACTCAGGACCAACAACAGACAAGCAGGGTGAAACTGATCTGGGAGATTTTATGGATTGCTCATGGGAAAAAGTGGATCGATGCATGACCAGTTCTTAAAAATCAACTCGGCGCGTACTCGCACTAGCCCCTCAAAATTGCAAATCGCAAAATCAGCGGCCGAATGGAGTCCTTGTAAAAGGTGGACTCGATCCGGCCGCTGGTTTTGCTGCTTTGCGATTTTGACGGCCAAGCGTGAGTATACTCTTATATTCCGGCAGCACTGCGCCTTGCCACTGCTGGTCATCACTGTGCCTCCCCCCCCTGAGGAGACTTTGCCGTCCAACCGCCTTCCTTCCCCCCACCATCCAGTCCACATAGAAATCCTGGATTGCTTTGTTATGTCCGCTTGTTTGTTGAATTGATCTCGCTTACACATGTAGTGTGCATAACCTTTATGCCAAAAATAAGGGCAAAGACGCTACCTTCATGATATTGTTGCGAGTCCCCGCTTCTGCGCTTTGCCTCTGCCTCCGCCACCGAGTGCTCTCCCTCTCTCTGTATACATTGTGCCTCAAATTGTCAGTTCCGAGCTGTGGAACCGCAGCGGCAGGGCTGCGGCGTGCCTTCCGGCTCATTACTAGTAATGACAATAATATAATGATTAGAGTAATAGTACTAACAACAACGATAATGCAAACAAAAACTTGCATTGGCTTTTCTGCTCAGAATAACAAATTTACATCAAGTCCTTTTTTGTGTGATTTTGTCTTCCCGTTGGTGGCGGCACTGCAGCACGTCCTGCACCATCTCCATCAGGTCCTGCATCGACCCATTCGGTGAGTTAGACAGATGAAAACTATGAAATAGTATGAATGCTATATTTATCATATTGAAATGTTTTCGTTGGACACTCCCATCTGCCCACCATCCATGGCTGCTTTTTTTCTTTACTCATCTTGTTTTCAGGAGTCTCTAAAAACCACACTGCTTTTTGTTCTGGTTGAACCCCAGGTCTAGGCGTGTCTCGGAACAAAATAATAAAAAAATTGTACTCGTGTGCAACGTGTTGTACTTGAATACAAAACCCGTGTTGTACTCGGTTGTATTCGACCCACGAACGAAATGTTCGCGGGTTTTTAGGGGCCAAAAAAAAAAAAAAAAAACATGGGGCGATGCCCCTGTTGTGTAGTACACAGGAAAAAAAAAAAACAAATGGACTTTTTTAAAGTTTTTTTTTAAGTGTTTTTTTTTTTTTT